GATGCAATAGAAAGTCGTCTTTGGGAAATGCGCACGCGCAATGATCTTGCGAGAAGTCTTGACAGTGTAGAATTTTGACTATCTAATTTACGTAGCATAAATTTCATAGCCGCATCAACAGTTAATAGAGTTGCATCACGCCGGCACAGTGCTTCGACTGTCACTTTGATAATATTCAGATTTTTCTGGAAATTGTCCAAAGTATGAAACTCGCTCTGTGTGAACTTGATATCAGAGTTCATGTCAATCAGTGCTTTGGATACACATGATCTTAACCTATTGAATCTATCCACCATAGTAAAGATGCTTCCCCAACGAGTCTTACAATCGGCTAGTAGCTGGAGTTCTTTTCCCGTATCCTGTTTTACATGTTTCTGTAGAAACATGTCATTCTTCACTGGAGAATTTTTGAAAATTTTGACTACTGCACGTACTTTACTGATGACACTTTTATAGTCATTATTAAGCTCGTTTGGGTTTGAGTTTGACACCACCGGTATTATTTCAAATCCCCCGGTTTCGTCTTCAGCACTATCTGCGTCGTTCTCGAATTCGGAGTCACTTTTACTTCCACCAGCAGTAACAGCAGTATCAGGGGATCGCACATTTTCCGCGCCGCCTTGCTTATAATACGTCAAGTACAGCTAGCTGAATACCGTATGCAAGGCAGACTTGATGATAAGCGCGCAGGTTTCTTCCAACTTTTAACATGACGCTGGCGCCATCAGTGACTATTGCGACTATATATCTATCTAAAGAAAGCGCAAATTCTGAAAGCTTTTCTTTCAAAAGTCTGATACAAGTCTCAGATGGCATTGAACCAACCATTCGCACCAAACCCAGATTTTTGAAACGTGAGCCATCTGTGAACTCAACTCCTATGTGAATGTTGATATTCATATATCTGGCGCTACGAGATGATGTCCACTCATCAAAACTCAAAGAAAACTTTTTACCAAGGGCTAATAGATTTTTCAGTTCAGTCACCAGTTTTTTCTTTTCCTGTTTACTATAGTTTATGACTATATTTTTTATACCTTTTGGAGTCTTCGGTAATTTATTGTAGCCAGAATTTGTAAACAGTCTTCGCAGATCCTCAGAAGTACAAAATACACTGAATGGTATTCCGTCCAAAGCTGCCATTCTACTGACGGTTGTTTCAAGGGAGTGATTACTTTGAAAATAATCAGTCAATTTCCTTTTTTTTTACCATCGATGAGGACGCTGAACAAGATTCGCCTTTTGATTTTGACACAGCGGTCGTAATGGTTGGAGAAGCAGATGTAGATGGTCGGTTTATGCTACTGTCATTAGTTTCTTCATTGTCAGACTTTGAATTAACGTTACTAACGTCTATTGTATGCGACGATTTTAAATGAACGCGAATACCAGTTGTTGTGCCGCCGTGAGATCGTATTATTTTTTGGCATAAATTACATTTGCCTGACTGACCATCTTCTGCTCGGAAAAAGTAGTGCCAAACTGAGGTTTTATCATCACACTTTTTTTCGAATTTTTCTTACTTTATATTTTTACAAGTAAATTTGTTTGTTCAAGGAAGCTGAAAGCCTGTAACAAAACAATTTTGACTAAATAACTTTGACCAACTAAAGTTCAGATTTTGTACATTTGCGAACTCATTTTAAAATTGAAGCCTATAATAGTACATTGTAATACAAGGGGCTAAAATGACCCATTATAGACGAGGTAGTAAATAGGAACCGAGTTAAATTCCTTTTTTTCCCAAGGGCATAATATGCAATTTTACGCCCGCTCTGGTACGCTATTATGACGGTCTTTTTCTTTTCGAGCAAGAGGAGTGAAAAATATATCATTACATATAAATTTATCTTTGAGATAATCTAACGGTTCAAATCAAAAGTAATAATAAAAGAAACAATAACATTTTAATCAAAGTAGCCCGTTAAAATGTAATAAAAATCATAAATGTAATGCTCGTCGTATTTGTATGTACACTTACCCACTTTGTTTGTCCGACGAGTGAATGAAGTAAAACAACGACGTCACAAATACAACACAACTTTGGCAATGCACACGTGCGTGCTTTTTAACATAAAAATATGAACTGCTCTGAATGAGTGACACCGAGCGTCGAGCGCAACTATCTGGTCGAACCGGGCGCTGTGATTGGTCGAGCGAGGTGGAGCGAGCTACCCGACCCCCGAGCCACCCGCGCCCCGCCGCCCCTCGGCGACCAAAGTGTTGTATATGTCACCGTAAAATTGTCAAACTACAATATAACGTATTTGACAATTTTACGGTGACATATACACACTTTTATTCGGAAATAATCATTTAAAAATGACATATTTGTAATTGTAAGCCTGCTACTGGCATAACATAGCACTCTGTTTTTATCAATTAAAAGATCTGTATTTCTGTACCTGTGTTAACAAATAAAAGTTATTTGATTGGATTTGATTTTGTCACTGGAATATACATAATTATTATTACCCGTTAGATATGCTTTACATTAATTAAAATTAATGAAATAAGTAAACAAGATTCTATTGCCTCTGGTTTTTTTATATAAAATATCGAAAAACCGATATCAGTGAAATCCAATATCGGTTTTTCAATATCGGATTTTTGGTCCGATAATCCGGTTTTTCGATATTATCGAAAACCGGTATCCATGCTCTAATTGAATATACTGTAGCTACAATTGCCATTATTATGAAAACTGTACGAAACATTTAAAACCCTGCTTTTAAAAGCGGTTACTTAAGCGATCAAGTTCCGCCGGCGCCATACTCGCGCGTCAATTGCGCTAGTGATTTCGTAAGTCGATAAGATAGGGTCGATGTTTTCGAAAGTAAAATTGAAAAATTTTAAATATGAAAAATTTATTTTAGTGTAACTAAATAAGTTGTAAGAATGTTGTATCTGTTTTGTTATGTAACGCTATAATGACGGACAGTGTCGCAAATTAATAATGTCTACTTTTTACAAAATTAAAGGGTTTTTACTTAAATCCTATCAATGTTTAAAATTTGGGTTAGTTTAGTTTATAGTGTAACGTCGATATTAGTAATTGCAACACTATTCGTGATTATGGCGATACATAAAATCGTGTAATATTAATCTACTAGCTGTGCCCCGCGGTTTCACCCGCGTCATCACGTGTTCGAGGTGCGCGACATGACCTAGTTCAAGCATTTTATAACGGCTAGGGTTTAAGCGTCGTTCGCGCGCCCAGCCAAGTATTGAATTATTTTAATTTTACATTATCTCTTAAACTATGCGTCCAAATAACATGGTATGAAGAACAAAGTTTATCTTCATAAATTGTCTTGATGATGAAGTAACTTTCGTTCGTAAGGATAAATAGGCCATACCTAATAATAACGCTCATAAATCATTTTTAAATTTTCAATATTTTTTGTCACAAAATACCAAATTGTGGCTTATGTATAAGAAATAGACATATGGTATCGCGGACTTTTTTTTAGACGGAGTAAAGATCTATATTTTTCTAGAACATTGTATTTACGTATCCCTAACGATAACACCAGCGTACGCGGATAAATCATTTCGGGAGTGCTTTTTCTTCTGACTTGCTTAACAAATATCCATATTTAAGGCTAACTGAGTGATATAGCTCAGCGGTCCTCAACCCTGGGGTCGCGACCCCGTGTGGGGTCGCGAAAGATATTTGTGGGGTCGCCAAAATAGTTAAAAAGGTCCTTATTACGTATTTATCGAATTTTATTAAGGTTTATGCATAAAATATAACCTCTCTTTACATACACAATTACACAATGTCCTTAAAACGGAGAGAATCGAAAATAATTACGACTGTACGACTTGTCCAGTCCCGCCGGTCACAACCTCACCGCTCCCGCGCCCGCGCCCCCACCCCGATCGCTCTTTCTTCGTTCCGTCTGTCTGTTCAGTCAGTTCTATCCGCACGTGCGTATTCATCGCCGCTTTGTCGATTGCAAATACATACTAAATTGATGCCAAAACACGGAAGATTACTTCTGTAGAAAGTTTTTTTAGAAGATTAGTGTTCTCGTGGATAACCACGCACACGGTAAGTGTGCACTCATACTTAGAAAATAAAGTGAGGCGTCATCGCAGCGCGACCATGTTGGACGCGTGGGTTCAATAACAAAACCAGCGCGAAATATTTTTTACGCTTCACTTATGTATATTTAGGGTTCCGTTTGAGAAACAAGGAACCCTTATAGTTTCGTCAAGTCATGTTTGTCATTCATACAAACACTATGAAAAACAAAGTTACAACTAACATCCAGTCATATCATTACTTGCTACCACGGAACCCTTCATGGGCGAGTCCGACTCGCACTTGGCCACTTTTTTTGCTTGTCTATTTGTGCTTCGTTGAAAATAAATTTGAAGGAAATCCTGTTACCACGCGAGCATATGACGAAAAATCTAATATTAATCGTTTGGAATACATTTTTTATTTATTAATACGTATTTATTATTGCAGTTAACAATGGATAAGTGGCTAATAAAACGCACATCTACAGATGCAGGTGGCGGAAGTCCTAATAACGCATCACAAATTAAAAGAATTAAACACGTAGTTCTTGACAGCAGTGTCGCCTCAGATTCTACAGTGACAACTACTGTTACGAGTAATATAAGTCGTGAGCCCAATGCCACCACTTCAAGTACTAGTAGTGTTATTACTATCGATGAAAGCAGAGAAACATCTAGTTCCACTACTATAACTATTAGTCATAACAGCCACATCTACCTTACACATCGATACAGAGAGTGACGCTTCAACTTCAACTAAACAAGCAACAGCTATATCGGAGACAACTGGGAAGCGTCAACGCATCTTTAAAGATAGTACATCCAGTTTGGTTTTAAATGTACAGTGTTGAATTTTGAACAACGTCCACAGTGCGTTGTTTGTTCGGAGGTTTTGGCAAATGAGAGCATGAAGCCGACCAAACTGAAAAGGCACCTAGAAACTAAGTATCCACAGTTAAAAAATAAAGATGAATCTTACTTTTAAACGACTTGCCACCAAACTAAAGTCACAGCAGGTTGATTTCCAAAAATATACAACAGTTAACCAAAAAGCCTTACAAGCATCTTTCGAGGTTTCCGTTTTGATTGCCAAAACTAAAAAACCTCACAACATTGGCGAGACGCTCATTTTGCCAGCTGCAATGAAAATGGTTTCGATCATGCAAGGAGAAAAGTATGCCAATTTACTGAAAACAATTCCACTATCAAGTGACACTGTTCATCGTCGTATCAATCTACTTGCTGATGATATCAAAATACAACTTATAGACCGCGTGAAAGGGAGTCCCTATTATGCTATTCAGCTGGATGAAAGCACTGATGTAGTTAATGTAGCTCAACTTCTGATATTTATCCGATACCGATATGAAAACGACATATGCGAAGATTTGTTATTTTGTCAGGGATTAGAAGGAAGAACAACCGGTGAAGCAATTTTTAAATCAGTTAATACCTTTTTTGAACTCCATGACATAAAGTGAGAATATTGTGTATGTGTGTGTACAGACGGCGCAGCTGCATTGACCGGCTCCAAAACAGGATTCAAAGCAAAAGTAACTGAGATTGCACCTCACGTAGGCTTTGTTCACTGTATGATTCACCGTGAAGCCCTTGCAGCAAAACATTTGCAACCAGATGTAAATAAAGTGTTGGAACAAGTCGTAACAATAATAAATTTTATTAAAGCACGCGCATTAAACAGTCGCCTTTTCAAAATAATGTGTCGTGAAATGGGATCAGAATACGAAAATCTACTGTTACATACGGAGGTCAGGTGGTTATCGCGAGGAAAAACACTCGGACGTGTATTTGATCTCAAGATGAAATCAGAATATTTCTACTTGAACGGGAACCAAAGCTAGCGGAATATTTTTTGAATGAACATTGGTTGGCAACAGTTGGCTATCTTTCGGATATTTTTGAAAAACTTAACGATTTAAATCAATAATTGCAAGGGAAGAGTACAAATGTATTGATTTTAGCTAACAAAATAAAAGCTTTTTGTAGGAAAATAAGTTTGTGGATAGACGAAATCAGTGCTGCTGAAAACTACGAGATGTTTGCATGTTTGGAAAAATTTTCTGAAGAAAACAATATAAAGCTCGAATAAGAAATTAAAACCAAAATCATGATGCATCTTACAAACCTTAAGCAAGACTTGGAAATAAGATTCCCAGATACGTCACACGGCGACCAATGGATAATTAATCCATTCACTTGTGATCTTAACACTGTGAAGATGAACTTAAAAGAAAAGGAGCAGCTGATCGATTTAATGTCCGATGAAAGCCTTCGATCTATTTTCAAAACCACGGATCTATCCAAGTTCTGGATAATGACGGAAAAGGAATATCCACTGTTATTCAAAATATCTCTGCTGAAATTGCTGCCATTCGCAGCTACATACATTTGCGAGACAGCTTTCTCCACATTAACTGCTATAAAAACAAAATATCGCTCCAGACTTAACGTAGAACCTGATTTGAGGGTGTCTGTTTATGATAATATATCACCAAGAATTGCACTGACTGACTGCAAGTGTGCAAGCACAAGGTTCACATTAGATTGTAAGGTCACGTATAATAAAAGAAGAAATAAAAGAAGGTACATCTTCTTTTTTAAATAAAATATTAAAATAATTGCTTGTCTCATTTAATGCCATCATAAATATTACTCGTATGTTAAATGCATATTTTCTAGTTTGCTCTAATATTACTTTCCAAAATAAATAAACTCTTCAATATAAATAATTTACGAAATAAAAACAGCTAACTTCGTTACCTGAACCAACTTTGCACTTGTTAACTTAGTGATTTTTTTTCTGGGGTCGCTCATAACTCTTTTTTGAATTTTGGGGTCGCAATATCAAAAAGGTTGCGGACCGCTGGAATAGGCTGTCTAGCATTAAGCTATATTATAGCTTAATGCTAGACAGCCAAACACATAGCTGACGTGAAGCACCAACGTTACGGGAAGTCTGCAGTTTGTGATCATATCATAGACGGCCCCCGCCATTACATTAGATTTGATAAACCACAAGTCCTCGCGAAAGAACATCGATTCCTGCCAAGGATGATACGTGAGGCTATTGAAATTAAAAAACATCCTAATTTCAATAGAGAGGTAGGCTGGGTACTACCACCTGCTTGGGATCCTGTAATTCATAAAATTAAAACTAAACCCAAGCATACAACTGCAAGACTTCAAGACATAGTTAGTTCATTCTGCGTAGATCGGACCAAAATTAATAATTAAAAAGCTGAAGGTACTCCGGGTTAACTTTGACATCGGGACGTCAATCACCTCAGTCCCCCGTGACCACGGTTGCTGGAAAGCAACCGAAACGTCGGGAATATAAAATAAGTTAATTAAACGCGATAAAATCCGTAAAAATAGTTTTATTCAATGTGCAGTGTTCGCGTAAATATAAGAAATCATTATTAATGAATCATTATTTTTTTACAAATTAAGGTCCTTGATTGTTTGATATTTACAAATATTATTATTAGGTGAAAATTTAATTTAATAAAAACCAAGGTTTTCCAGGGTGATTTAGCTGTACCTACTTATATAAATATTTTTTTTTTATAAAACAATAAATAGTATAAAAGGTTTGTAATCTCTTCATAAAAAAAGTCACTTACTCTCAATTTCAAAGAAAACACGTAAAAAAACACGTAGTTACCCACTAAAAACAAGTATGTCTGTGGCGTGGCAAATATTTGTTCGGCGCCACAGCTAAAAGTTGTCGAAAATCGGTTAAACAACATGTATAATTTACTTTATTATAATTAACTTTAAAATTCATTTTCATCGACTACTTTCAATGTAATTCGCTATCAAAGACGTTACTCAGGATGAAATGACAGTTAACAGTATTTTGCGATAATGTAATCATATAAATAAATAAAAATCACATAATTTATGCGTTTGTTAAATTAGATGCATATACATACAAACATAAAATAAAATGTATATACATTATATGTATTATACAAAATGTACATTATTGTCTAGTTCTTTCAAAAATTTTCAAATCCTATTGGCGTTACAGCACACGAAAAATGTGTTTCTGGGCGGGCAGTGGAAATGGCAATCTTTGTCAGAATTTGAAACATGAATTGGTTATTAGCTTTAGGAAAATCTATACCACGGAATGATTCGATATTATACAAATATTTAAATTGGGTGACACACATTTTGCTAATTGACACGATCACGAATAAATCCCTTAATCATATAATTTTAATTTACACCACTTTTAGTTGTCTAATAGATTTGAATAAAACTATTCTTACGGATACTATCGCGTTTATTACTACTTATTTTCTATCGATTTCAAAATGGAGACAGAACTCAATTTGACTGTAAGTTCTTTTTTCTTATGTGTTACCTCATAAATTTTTTCTGGGTGAACCGATTTCCGATTCTTTTTTTGTGTGAAAGCTGGTGCTTTTCATGTGGTCCCATATAAATTGTATCAAGGTCTGACCAATAGTTTTTGAATTATTCTTAACCCATTCAATGCGGCTCGAAAAATCGCCTTTATTACGCAGGGGCGGGCGGTTTAAAGAGCTAACTCCGATAGGCGTCGGAAGCATCTCATATTTTTTTTACTTTGACACCGATCGGCGTTTCCCGCACATGAAAATGATTCTTCCTTGTTTAGACAGAATTTTATTGACGCTTATCAGTTTACGCCATATCAAGTGACTGCGTATTCAGTGGCCAAGTTATATTTTCATATAATAAGTTATTTTGTGATTAAAACAGTGAATTTTTATTAAAACTACGATCGAACGATTTCCTATTTACCATAAATATGGCTGGAAATAGTGAGTGCATTTGTTTCTATTCTATTCAGTATAGTAAGGGATATGTTCCACATTATAGAAAGATTTCTAATTACACTTTGAATAACGAAATTGGTTTTTATATTAATATTTTTAATATTATTGAAATATGACCAGGGATTGCAAACCTTTTTTCTGATTTTTTAAAGTTAAAAATACTTTTAATAATAGTATTTAGTGTACTATTTTAAATGTATTAAGTATAATAAGTAGTGTTTTTAATTAGTAGTTGAAAAGAAGAGAGGGGTTTTCAGTTACATACTATTTCTAGTGCATCGTAATTTGTTTCACTTAATAATTAATAATGACTTTCTCTTGGTGGTCTTGGAAGGTAAGGCTCGACCATCATCACTGAGTTTATTCAGTGACGGTGTGAGACAATTTGGTTCGCTAAAAAGAAAGCCATGTGATGATCAACATTATCATCTTGATAATGTTGATGCGAAAAAAGTCACATCTAGACAAAATAAAGAGACACAGGTATCGTCAAAGGACATTCAGAATGCAAATGTATATAAACGCAACATTTTCGATTCTAATGAGTATAAATGTGACGTATCACAATTACCCGATTTTGAATTTTGAAAACGGGGAACCAAGTGACCACCGAAACAAAGCGTTTGCTCAACTGATCGCTTACGAATTAGATCTTGTTCCAATGAAAAAAAGATCTGTAACATATTATTGATATAATAAATCTTCTGAGGAAAGTACGTAACCAATAGGATGTGGACGATATAAGTTTACCCAACTAAGAAGAATCGGAATAATGTTTGTGTAAATGCATAGGTATGCTGTGAGCCTACATGTTGTTTGCTGATATTATTAAATAAATATTATATTATGAACACTTACGTACCTAGTTGTAGTTTAGTTTAAGTACCTACTCTCACAAGTATGCGAAATAATGATTACCAATATGAACGGTTTTAACAATCCAAGATGTCGGATTTTATTAATAAGACGTTTTCGTTTATAATTTTCTGGATGCTCTTTTTTTTCCTTTTTACACTAGAGATGATGGAGAATATATAAAAAAAAAAAAACTAGCGAATCATATCAACGCAGCAAAATGTTTAAATATCAACTATGAAATGAAGATTGCTCATAGTATGAACCTATACTGTTCTTTAATTCATAAAATAAAATACCTAGCTAAAATAAATAATATATAATTATTTAATCCAAATGTTTTCAATGTTGATAACCTCTGTAAGACGCCGTTCGGCGTTTTCCGCGCCTGAGGAGAGTTTTGTCATTTTTCTAAAATCATTATTTACAGAAACGGAAACTATAAAGATGTTGTATGTATGTAAAACATGCACATATAAAAAGTATATCCCTTTAGAATAGACATTGGCCAAGTTATGGCTAAAATATAATTTACGCCGATCGGTATCATCCGCCTAAGAATGACAATTTAAATTACGCGGTTGTGCGTGCACCGTAACGGATGGGTTAATAATTTATATTAAAGTCGGATGTACAAAATTTTTAATTTTAAATTATTAATTCCTGACCTTTCGGGTGCTTTGCAGCACTCATGGTCACGGGGGACTGAGGTGATTGACGTCCTGATGTCAAACCCAACCCGGAGTATCTTCAGCTTTTTAATTAATACTTTTTGCAATGGTGCAATCTACGCAGAATTAACTTACTGTGTCTTGAAGTCTTGCAGTGGTATGCTTGGGTTTTGAGTTTTAATTGTATTAATTATAGGATCCCAATCAGGTGGTAGTATCCAGCCTCCTTATCAATTGAAATTAGGATGTTTCTTTTTTAATTTCAATAGCATCACGTACCATCCTTGGTATGAATCGATGTTCTTTCCCGAGGATTTGTGGTCTATCAAATCTGATGTAATGGCGGGGCCATCTAGGATATGATCACAAACGGCAGACTTCCCGGAGCATCAGTAAAAGTAGTTTTATTCAATGTGTAGTGTTCGCGTAAATATAAAAAAAATTATTGTCTAATAGACTGTTCGTTCACACATTTTTAATTGAACTAAATTTTCATTATATAAAAATACAAATAAGATGTTTATTGATTTTTAAAACTATAACACCATATAATTTCTGTACTAAGTTTTCGTCTTGAAACCTCAAAAAATATAGTGTCAACTACAATTATTGTTTCTTTGAGATTAACAACATAGAATAGAATAGAATAGAATAGAATGATTTTTATTCAATATGGATTATTACATAATACTTATTGAAAGTCATTATTTTATTTACCACTGGTTCGGAAAATACCTCCTGTCCTGGGAAGAACCAGCAAGAAACCCAGCGGGACTTTTTTTTTAAACATAATTTCACTTAACATAAAATATCTGTATCATAATATTATTCTTCCATAGGGTGCCTTTTTAAATACGTTGTAATGAAATAATAACAACCGCGGGAAAACTCGAGAATAAGGCTGCTTATCCACTAGATGTGCAAGACAGCTGAGCGGTGCGAGGTGGGGGTAGCAGCAGAGCTTTGAAATAGTGTGACCTTTTTTACACCAAAGCTGTTTAGGGAAACTGAGCGGTATGCGGTTGCGTAGCGGATTATTTTCACTAATACTATGCGAGGAAGCGGTATGCTACGAATCTGGGGCAGGCAAGCGGGGTGCGGTATATTCAGCCGCCACACCGTTTCAAATACATTCCTCGCATACATCTCTCGCTTGTTTTGTTTGTACAAAGATCTCGCTTTGCTACGCTGAGCAAGGCGAGAAGAATGAAGTAATATGTTTGGTGGATTTTTTTGCCGCACAGCTCTGGTGGAAACCCAGCCTAAGTTAGTAAAATGAAAGTGCTAAGCCGTTAATGCCAATACAATTGAAATAAGTTACGAGTTCAGCGATTGTTCTGATCTTTTTAATATCTGCTTAATATAAAAACAATTATAATCGGACTTTGTACATAATTTAATTAAATTAAAAAATACTAGCGATGCTAATAAAACACTAAAATTCCTGCTAACCATGGAGTGGAGCATGGGAGTAAGTTTAAGATGCTTGCTTTAGAAGTGGTTCACGTTACAATACTCCTAACAATTAAGGATACTGTTGCTTCAATTGAATCTAAAACTTAACAGCCTTTTACAAATTTAAGCCAATTGAACTATCAGTGTTCGCAGCTTCAAACATTAAGCCTACAATATTATACATTGTTAAGCTATTCCAAAAACAAAAATAGCTGTACTAAGCTGTCTTATTTTCTTTTTGTTAAATATTAAAGCTGTGTGATTGTATAAGAACTAAGCCTTTGCCTTTTTACTGGGCTTGGATTCACTTGAAGAACACTTGGAGTGACACTAGTCCGACTGTCTTGGCTAGTTACACTGTTTGGCGATGCAAAATGAGGAGAAGAACCAGTAGACACAGTGCTTTTAGGTGTACCTTTCTTCATGTAACCGACAACAGAGTTGAGGAGTGTTGCCGGCAGAGCCACAGGTGTCAGTCTACCACCACCATGTGCAATGTAAGTTTGTAGCATTTTCTTTGAAGGTGACGATGGATCATTTACTGTCAATACAACTAATGAGCCTGTCTCTATGTTCGGGGGCACTGCAGGTGCAGAATTCACGTTGTTAGGTAACGCAACATTCATTGGTAAATTGTTCATGTTTGGGGTTGGAACTGCAATATTATCTGTATTTGTTGGGGTTGTGATCTTTGGCGTCTTCTGTTTCTTATTTATGAACGTCAAGGTTGCGAGGTGAGATGAAGTCTGAGCGCTTTGGTTGTGTTGTGGTGTTTTATTTGCTTTTGATTTTTCAATATTTCGAGTTTCTATTACATGTTCCAACAACTCATCTGCAGTTGTCACCTCATTCTCTTTGATTTGGGTTATGCCAGGAACCATTCTTGTTTCTAGTGCCTTAGCTCCCCTGCCTGTAAGAAACAACCAGACATCATAATATTATAAATCATATTTTTAACTAAAATCCTTAGGTCAGTGTTCAGATAAGACTTAGAGCTGGATCGGCTCGCCGGGAAAAGGCCACGCTGGCATAGAAGAACAGAGTGAAATAGCAGCATAATGCTTCTGTTTCGTATAATGAGTGACGAGAAATGGAGATCTTTTACTAGTAACAATATGCATTCTTTAATTTTAATGGGTACAATGCACCTGCATTTTGATTTTTGATCGTAAATCAAACATCAAAATGCAGGTGCATTGTATAAACGTTCCATAGGTATCTATGGAACATTTATACGTGGTAGTGCTATGCTGCAGCTATTATTAGTATAGTTGTAGCACGAATAGGTCGGCTCGACCGGGGAAGGACCACGCTCTCACAGAAAACCAGCGTAAAATAGCAGCTTATGGCTGCTGTGTTTCGTATGGTGAGTGTAGAGAACCGGAGACCCTTTTTACTGGAAACGAGACATTCCACCTTGGTCTTCACGGGTGACGATGCATCTGCATTTTGATTCGTAATCGAAGATGGATGTAGATGTCTATGAGCCACAGCAGCCACTTACCATCAGGTGGACTGTGTGCTCGTTTTTCACCCTTACGTTATAAAAAAAACCAGCATTAATTTGCCATTAGGTGGAATGTGTTCTCGTTTGTCACCATTTATAGATCCATTGTAGTTCTGGAAATAAGCTTTCGACTTTTAAATTTCGTAATACCTGAGGCTTTATGATTTTTGTTTCGTTTGAAATCTCAGAAGGTGCGAAATATGTTTGGTAAAGAGACCCCATCGTTTCATTTTATGTAGAGAGTTTAGAGGATCGTAAGAGGTGAAAATGGGAAGTGCCATATGACATGTGGTGTATTAACCATATCCAGGGCCGGATTTACCTTAAATACCGCCCTATTACCTATATCCTACATTACTTGAGTAAAGGACCGGAGCAAACGAGCGTACGGCTCACCTGATGATAACTGACTACCGCCGCCAATGAACAACTGCAACACCAAGGGAATTGCAGGTGCGTTGCCGGCATTTTAAAAGGATTAAGGTCTTTTCTTGAAGGTCCCTAAGTCGTATCGGTCCGGAAAAATCAACGGTGGTCAACACTCCTATTAAAACGCACAGTGGTGGAACGCCAAGCATCCAGATGTTGTGGATGATATCGGGAGTTTTGCCGCGATGTGCGTTCGTGAAATTTGGCGGCTGGGATTATTCCAAACAATTCCTCAGAGCACTTCCCGTAATAAATGCGAAAGAAAATGCAAAAGGATGCAACATCTCTTCGCAGCGCCAATGATTCGAGCCGATCGGAAAGGACTCGGTCGTCGACGATTTGAGCTGCTCTGATCGCTGGATGCGGTCAAGTGGAAGGAGCTACCCCTGGGGAGTCCCAGCCCAGAGATGGGAACAGTATTCCATGTGAGGCCGAACTTGCGCCTTGTAAAGTTGCAGGCGGTGTGACGGCATGAAATACTGTCCCGCTCTGCTGAGCACGCCAAGCTTTTTAGAGGCCAATTGGGCCTTCTCTTCCAAGTGACCACGAAACTGCACGTCACTCGATATGTCGACTCCGAGGATTCCGATACTGGCTGAGGCAAGAAGGGGAGCGCCTTGAAACTGAGGAGATACGACAAAGGGGTTCTTTTAGTGGTAAATGCGCAAACTTGTGTCTTCTGAGGATAAAGCTGGACCAGATTTAGTTGCCCCAATCCGAGACTTTGTTCAGCAAAGACTCGACTTCAGACACAAGTTTGTTCCGGTACTCGGCGACGTTTTCCCAAGAAATATTGGCACGGCCGGTGTATAGAGCATCACCAGTGCTGTCATCCGCATAGCAATGAATGTTACCGGTTTACAACATATGCAGAAGAAACAGCGTTGGTGATATCACGCAGCCTTGTGGAACACCTACGTTAATAGGCTTGTAATCGGAGCATGCGCCGTCTACAACGAACTTGATGCTCCAATCTGCAAGAAAACTGGTGATCCAATAGTACAATTTCTCAGGTACCCATATTCATAAGAAGGGAACTTCGAAAGAAGCGCTTTGTGTCAAGCCCGATCGAAGGCCTTCGCAATATCCAAATTAACGATAAATGCCTTCTCCCTTGGACTCTACTGCCTCCACCCATCTATGAGTCAGGTAGACCAGAAGATCACCAGATGATCGACCCCGACGAAAACCTTATTGACAGTCACTAATCAACTGGTGATCCTCAAGGTACCGCATGAGCTGGCAGTTTATAATGGATTCCATTATTTTGGAGAACAAGGAGGTAATGGCGATAGGCCTGTAGTTAGACGGGTCTGAGCGGTCGCCTTTTTTAGTAATCGGGTGGACAAATGCCGTCTTCCATAATTTTGGGACTACGCCTAGGGAGTAGGAGTACCGCGTAGGAGTAAAACACGCGGTGAAACTGATGTAAATTCTGAAGCGCACGTCCCCAGGACAATCGGGGGGATTCCGTCAGGCCTAGTCGATTTGTGGATGTTCAGGGAGAGAAGTGCTTTGCGAACCGAGCGTTGTGTGAACCGCACATCCGGCATGGAGCACTCAGACCGCGGGATAGTCGGCGGCGTGGTCCTCCCTTCATCGAGAGTCGAGTTGGACGTAAAGAAAGAGCCTAGCAGATCGGTTTTATCCTTTGCGGCATGGGCCAGTGAGTCTTCCTCTGAGTGCAGAGATGGAAGAGATGGCTGACAGAAGTTCCCTTGTACAGCCATGGCGAGAGACCAGAATGCACGGGTTTCCGAAGGAAAGCGAACTAGTTTCTCGCCAATTCTCCCTATGTGCTCTGACTTTACCTCGGCGATGACTCTTTTGAAGGACCTGGAGGCGGATTAATTTTTGAATTGAATTATACTTCTTTTTAAGGGCGCTGGTGTTTACATCCCGGGACGTTGATGCGTCAGCCCAGGCTCGTTATCACTCCTGCCTAAAGCGTGATGCTATTTTACAGGAGCGACCAAACCATAGCTGGCATTTACCACCGATGGGCACCTCAGAGAATAGTATAAAAAGTGCCATACCCTGAAGTACCACATCAGCAAGAGAATTAGCAACAATGTTGGGATCGTCCGGCGAGAAGCAAACCCAAAAAAAAGCAAGGATAGAATGCAAAGAAAGACCGCATCCCATCCCAATCAGGCGACCTATTGTGCCAAACACGGCGGCAGCCTGCAGAATGCAAGCGCGATTTCAGCGTGAGTGGCACCACACTCCGGACTAGACAATGGTCCGAGGAGCGTCGACGGAGACCTGGTATCTGTCCGGATGAGAGGTCAGCAGAAGGTCCAACAGGGAAGGTGCATGATCCTCCACATCTGGAATCCGCGTAGGCGTAGTAACCAGTTGTGTCAGACCATATTTCATTCGTCATTCATTCATTACAGCCCTTCACAAGTCCACTGCTGAACATAGGCCTCCCCCAAGGAATACCACAAAGCATGGTACTAAGCCACCTGCATCCATCGACTTCCTGCATGTCTTATCAAGTCGTCACTCCATCTAGAGAGGCCCTACACTTCGTCCGCCGGTACGAGGCCGCCACTCGAGAACCTTTTTTCAGCATCAGACCATATGTCAAGGCAAAATCATGAACAGATCTCCCCGCATGATCGGTTAAACGTAAACTGAGCCATTCGGCGTGGTGGGCGTTAAAATAGCCACGGATCACATCTCTGTGGATAGGGCCTGTTGTAGCAAGGAATTTGTAGCCAGGACATGGTCGATGAGTCGGTCTGTTTCGGCATTACCGCTATAGGATCTATAGAGGCACCCGTAGACGCGCGGATCGTCGTCGCTAGTTACGCGTAGCCAAAGGATGGACAGGTCCTTTGCCTCCTCTCCGACGTATACGCAAACTCCAGCCCGAGTCACAAAGGAGTGTTCCAATTTGTACCCAGGGTAGGACACCTGCGTCTCGGTCAGAAAGAGCAAGGCCGGCTTCGCCGTCTCCAGATGGTAGTTAACGGCGTTTAGGTTCGAGTGAAGTCCCCTGATGTTGCAGAATCACGGATAGCGTGGCAAGGGTCGCCTTGGTCTTGTTGCTCAGTTTGCCCCGAGCAGTTATTGTTTTGAGCGAAATTTTGCATAGCGGAAAGTTAAAAAATTTTTTGATCATACCAAATTTTGGCGCCCTAGGTACTAGTCCTTAGTGCCCCTAGGTAAATAAACAACCCTGACCACATCAAATTTACCAATTGTAAAATACATATTGTATGATAACAACACGCAGAGGTATGTTAAATTGTGTTATGCCTGCTTTGTGATGAGTCAATACTTTGCCAAATGATGCCACCTGTCCGGCAGTGGACAGGTGGCATCATATGAGCTGAAGAACGAACACGTAGGAAGAACAAAAATGAAGAGCAATAAAACGTACTGTTGCGCACGCGCATCTGTCGAGCGAGGCGTATTCGTTCGCGTTCTGCTCGTTTCCGACAGGCGATCCGCTCGAGTTCGAGTTGTGCTCGTCGTTTGGTCTCCGCACGTTCCGTAATGAATTCCTCTTGTAATTGTTCCGCGTCCCACGTCGTAGCCGAGCGCAACGCTTTATCCACTTGAGCGCCATTTAGCTTTTCTTCCTTCTTGAACTTTACAGAAAACATAAAAAATGTCAGTATTAAATTCACTACTAACTTGTTCAAGCATCGGCATTAATTTATTTTATCTTTTTGAATATGCAATTACATTGGCAAGATATACATGTATGCTTTTACCACTAGTTGTCGAAATTAATAATTATAATCGTATAGCTTATGGCTTTTCATTTACGAGCATTTGTAAATTTTTATATTGGAGAAATATCTATTATTAACGGAAAAGGCTCTGACAACTAACAATTGGCTCAACACAACCACAGTTTACAGAGCTAACAGTTGTGAAACGCCTTTGATGTCAGGCGATGCCGCCGCCCGCGTAAGGTATTTACTATTTACGCCGTCGTCGGAAATATGCTAGTTGTCACGAGATTAGTAATAAAATAATTTTGGATATTATAATATCATCATCATTTATTATTAAAACTAGAAAAATACATTTACAAGTGTTGCACTGCTAAATATTTTCGTGGCACTTTTTTATATAGAAGTTTTCAGTTTTCGATTGTATGTAGTGTACTGGCATTTGGATGACCAATTTTATTAAAAAAAAAATGAGGATGAGATAAACATGGCCGTCATTTGAATTCTACTATACTTGGTAATATCTATATATAATAATCCTATAACTATAATAGTAATTCACCATTATAGGTATTATTTTGTTATTATTTTTTGAAAACGTCACTTAAAATTAGTTAAATAAATAAGTTTTATAACACGCTCGAGTCAAGCGCATGTATTGTACAGTAGACAAGGTCGCCCCCCAAGGCCCCCACCGTTGCTCTGCACAAGTACATTCGTTTCAGAAGTGTTAGACTCTCTTTAAACTGTGGCTCAACCACTTGGGGAGTTGGGAAGTATAATATATTATACAGGGTTATTTTTCAGACTAGCAAAATTTAATAATTAAGTACAAAATATAAATACTGATATACACTTTTTTTTAAGTACGCGTAAATAAGGTTTCTACATTTATTTGAACATATCCGAAATGGAATGTTATTTATGGGCAGTAAAAACGCGCGCTCGTGTGTGTACGAGACAATGCACGGAGCTTTTGCCTACTATTTACTTCTTTAATGATACGCTCGTTACTATGATTGCAATTTTCTCTTCATACTTTAAACGAGATTATGTACGTCATAATAATTTTTTTTTTACATTTTAACGACTTGTGGCATGAATGCTATGTAAATAAAAATTCTACACTCCTTGAATTAAATATTTTTTTTTAATCCCACACAAAGACAGTTCGAAATACAAGTTTAGACTAAAGAGCAAGGGTCTTTCCCTTGCTCTTTAGTCTATACTTGGAGAATAAATGTAAATAGTTAGTTGTAGAAAGGATAACTGAGCTAGGAAGCCGATGATAGGTTAGCTCGATTTAAATAACGCTTACTCAGGCGGCGTAAGCGAAGCCTCTACCGTTGAGGGCGTTTAAAACCAGACTGGTCGGTTAATATGCAGGATAATAGGCAGTGCGAATAGGGCCGAAAATTGCCAACCTCAGCTGACACGAACATCGCGTAGGCGTGTACGCCGTTCTATAGAACCGCATAATATGTTTATTAACGTAATTTTACTACTTCAATATGCAATCACTTAAAATAACACTACCCATTCACAAAAATGTTTTCGAGGTGGACGATTGTTATTATTCAGTGCTTGTACACGTTGGTAATGAAATAGGTGATATCCAGAAGAATTCAGTAGTTTCCACACGTACTGGCTAACTCTGAACTCGAGCTGCATCGTTGTTGCTAAAGCGGAGGTTTGGCTCGAAAAACTCGATCAATGCATTTTCTATAGTCGGGCTTATTACCATCTCGAGCACTTCCATGTGATTGAGTGGTGAACTGACCAAAGTCTAACAGCCTTTGGTTAGCTGCAAAAATTGTTCTCAGATTGGTGCTACACGTGCGTTAATTCCGTGTCTTCGCAAACACGGTAACATCGCACCATTTCATAGTATTCACAGTTCGAATATTTTTGTTACGTCATTGGTAACGAAGCGTACATAATGAGGTCACGGTCAACACTCTCAGCTGTCAGGCGGGCGAGCGGACGTAGGTACTTAGCGGTGTAACGGTAAAGGAAGAAGGAAAGAGCGGGGGAGATGCGTAACAAGGTACCCTTACAAATGTGTGCAGCATTAGATAGGAACAAATAGGAACATGTATTTAAGATCGTGTTTCAGCCATTTTAAATAATGAGTGTGACAGTTCAAATACTATGGATATTACTCCACTGAATGGCACGTCTACTTCAATGTTATCCCTTCTGCGACAGATATGACTAGCCTATTGCCACTTCAGCTTGCAAATACGGAGAGGTATGTGGGTGAACTTGGTTCTCAAAAAATAAATAAATAACGGTATTATCCACTATTCCATATCATCCCGTGGGTGTTGTAAGAGGCGACAGAGGGGACAAATCAGAAATCAGGAGATGGGTATCAGCGTTTTCCTAATAAAAACTAAAAATAAAAAACTGCGGTTCCAAGCCTGCTTGCCAACTATGGCAAATAAGTAAATGAGGCAATCTATGGGGGAGGCGAATGTTCAGCGGTGGACTTATAGGCTGTAACGGTATTGCACGAGTGAGGTGTGTGACCTTGAGCTTGAGCTCCCTGCGGCTGCGGTCGGGGAAGAGCTGCGCCATGAGTGTGAAGTCGGTGCCGAGCGCGGCGAGCGCGCGGTAGAAGCGCACGGTCTCCGCCGCGCTCCAGTCGGCCGAGCGCGGCCCGCGCCGGTAGCGCCCGCCGCCCGCGCCGCCCGCGCCCCACGCACCCTCCCGCACCACCGACGACACCTTGCGCTCGCTCGCAGTTTGCTTGATCACCTACCCACAAACAATCAATAACTTCCCGTTCACCAGATGTCGCTAGTTGGAGCTGAGGAAAATTATTTGTTACACAGTGTCACCATAAGTAAATTGCGTTTCATATGTAAAGTTTTTCGGTTTCTAGTGTATTTATATAAAAATTTAAATCTTAGTGGTGCTTCCTCATTGAGTTTTTGCACAATGTTTAACTCTCTTTAAATTCTTTTATTTTTAGATATTATATCCGTAGTTTGGTTTAACCATTTTTAATCTAATTAATATAAAATACAACTAATATTTCATAAAGAAAGTGATTCGGCAGCAGTTGATCAATTGAATTAATCCAATATCTATACAAGTATGAACAAAATTGAACTATCTATCTGTAATATCGAAATAACTTCCTTTTATTGAGCTAAGGGATTATTTGCATAGCACTAAAACATGAATAATAATTTAAATCTTTTATTAAAATGTGGTTAATATTAATATATTTTTTTATTAAAGTCAATAAAGTAATCAATAAAGTGTAGTAGTGAATATATACAAAAAAATAAACAATAATATACACTATATTGATGATAGATAAACACATGAAGAAATGTAAGTATGAGAATTATATTTTTATGTGATTTGTGAAAAATAGGTTAATTATTAAAAAGAAAATAATACAGGTGTTATTTTATTGCAAAGTAACACCTGTTTTATTTAATAAACAGGTGTAACTTTGCAGAATTCATTATATTAAATATATGAAAATGAAATGGTTGTCCTTAAAATTCGTTAACACACTATTTTTATTTCAAATGAATTTAAGCTAAAAATTTTAAAATACATTATTAGACATAAAAAGAGCAAAAGAATTGTGTCCAAATACCTACTTCTTTCAGATTACAGTTACAGTTAAAATCGTATTTTTAATTAAACGAAGCTGCCTGACAGATGCTAATGTCACTTTGTGAAATAATATTGCCAGATTCATTGTATTAGTGATGCGTTTAACAGTCAGTATACGATGACTTGATAATTATGACTAAAATTAAATAAACTTATCTTGATTAACATTGTGAAATTTGTTGACGAATATTATATCATTGAAATAAACAGAAAAAATATTGTTAGTAAGAATAATAATTTAATACTATTGTGACTTGAGGGGGCGCTCTGACTTTCGGAACGCACCCTGCTCCCGTCGTGTCGGTCGCCATTTTGTGTGTCATTTTTCTTGTTATTCATTCGGCTTCTAACGTCTGTTCCGTTCCGTTCTAACGCGCTGTTCTCCTGTTGCTTTTCTTTAGATCCTTGTTAAGTTTTTTGTTACGTTGTGTTGTTTGTTATTGTTAAGTTATTGTGTTTTTATATTGTTTCGTACAAACGTTATAGAACCTCAACCAAGCACGTCGAGCAAAAGCTCTTTTTCCCCAAAAAAGAAGAGACCACGGGCTTCTCTTAGCGTTACCGAAAGGCTTATGGTATGCAATGTCTACAAATACATATTTGAGCAGGAAACTGCTTCGGTATTACCTACCGAAGTACCGGAAAAAAAAATGTGTTTCTAAGACAGCTGAAATTTTTGGAATCGGTATGACCACAGTGTTCCGTGTATTAAAAGAATACAAACAAAACGAGCAATTTAAGTCTCTTGAAAAACTTGGACCGAAACATAATTTCAAGAATAAATTAGTCGATTTAACCTTAGCGGCTATAAGGCGAAAAGTACACCAATTTTTTTATGCAAATGTGGCATCCACCATTGCGAAGGTAACTTAAGTGTTATTTTTTTACATCTTTGCGCGCAGCGCTATGTATGCGTAAAGCTTGTTATAGATAAAATAACGACTGTCGTGTCACTATCACACAAATCAAAGCTGCATATTTACACGCTCACGCACACATAGCGTTTTTTTGTGGTTCTATTTGACTTTTTTCTATTGCTCTACGCTTTCTTACCCATAATCTGTTTAAACTACAGATTCTTAAGGTTGTTAATGATGACCCAGATTTACCGAACTTCTCTTGGAGTACCTTGAGGAAAATTTTAAAACACTTAAATTTCAAATACGCCATAAAATCAAGAAAAAGCGTGCTAATAGATAGACGCGATATTGTTTTGTGGCGCCAGCGATACTTTAAAAAAATTAAAGATTATCGCAGGGAAGAAAGGTACATTTATTACCAAGATGAAACCTGGATCAACGAAGGTAATTAAAATTTTCTCTGTTTTATTTATCTATTACAGTGTAGGTATTGCATGCCACCGGTGAATTTAGTGAGTAATTGGTATTTTTCATTTTCTCGAAGGTCATACACCGAAGAAGCAATGGATTGACCAGACTGTACAATCGTCCCGGCAGGCATTCTTAGAGAAGGGTTGACCATCGGCTTGAAAGGGCCTTCAGGAACAGGCAAACGGCTAATTATTACCCATATAGGCGGGGAAGGAGGATTTGTAGAAGATAGCTTACTTGTGTTTGAGGCTAAAAAAGGAAAAGAAGATTACCATCAAGAGATGAATGCTGAGGAGTGGTTTAGTGGGGTTTTGCCTAAACTAAAAGCTAATTCCGTAGTGGTGATGGATAATGCCCCTATCACTCCATAAAGTTAAAATCGCTGCCTACAATGTCTTGGAATAAACCAAGAATACAAGAGCGGGTGGCGAGCAAAAATATCCCATTCGAGTCACTAATGGTGAAATCTACTCTTATTGACATTGTACGGCAGCACAAACATGAACACTGCGACAAGTATGCCATGGACGAGATGGCAGCGGAGCGTGGAGTCATTGTTTTACTTTTGCCCCCTTACCATTGTGAGCTCAATCGCATTGAGCTGATTTGGGCGCAGGCCAAAAGGTATGTTGCAAGAAACAACAAGACCTTCAAAATGAAAATTGTAACAAAAATTTTCGAAGAAGGACTAAATGAAGTGACTGCCGAAAAAATAGAGTAGCTGCGTGGCTCACATAATAAAAGAAGAAGACAAAATGTTTCATCTCGACCACATGATCGATAGTGTCTCAAATAAGTTTATAATAAATGTCACTGTCAGTGACAGTGATGATATTATATCTGATGACAATGAATAAAAAAATGTAATAATTAAGCATAGTTTTTTTTAATGAAATCCCTATGACGACACACTATGGATAATTTTCGCCTGATGAACTGACAACATGGATGTACCTTAAATAAATCTTGACGTAATTTTTAAACCCTTCAGTTAAAAAAATATATTGTTTTTACCATTCAGTCATTTTCTTTATCAGTCAGTCATTTAGTCAAAACACTATTTTTGATTCATTAAAAAACTGACAACCCAGTAAACGTCAGGCAGCTTCGTTTAATTAAAAAAAAGACTTTACAAAAGCTCCATTACGTTTCTGACATATAATAGTAGCTCACCAAACTTGTCTCATCAAGAATAATTTCTCCATTTGGTCCAAGCTTGATTTGAGGCACGGGCGCAGCCTCTGCTTCAGGCGGGTCATCAACATCTTCTTCTTCATCCTTAGAATCGTCTTTAATTTTATTAGCTCTCTCTTCTTCTTTGGCATTTTCCTCTTTCGCATTTATTTCATCTTGGTCTGGACTAAAAGTGATATATGCAAGCTTCAGCTATTTTCAATATGATTACATAGGCAAGTAACCATCCTTATAAATATCATACAAGGGCAACACTGAAAGTTTTTAGAACTGGCCACGATATAATAAAAAAATAAGTTCAAATTTTGAAAATGGAACTCTTTGGCAATATTATTGTGTAAGTATTTAATTCATTAGTCCTTTGTTTACGATTTGGCAGCATATTGAAAATTGTGTGTCACGTCAGTATAAATTTAACGCGAGAAAATTTTCGTACAATAATTTTTTATGACTTTTGATGTCATTTAAGTCAACAAGAAAGTTATGATAGACTTCGATTGACCTTTCACGATGAAGCCCATCTCATGCCACTATTTACAACTGGTTTAATGAGTTTAAACGTGGTCGCACTAATCTCACCGATGATCTGCGTGAGGGACGGCCTTCTACGGCGACGATTAGATAACATCAGTGATGTGCGGCGTATGATAGAGACTGCCAAAAGAGTGACTTATCAGCAGATTCGGACAAGCTTAGGCATCGGTATGAGTCAAGTGCACAAAATCCTCCAAGAACATTTAGCGGTCAGGAAGCTTTGTGCCCGGTGGATACCTCATAATTTGACCCAAAAACTCCGTCGTGTTGATTGGTGTCGTAAACTGGTTCAAAGATCAACCGGAGGTGACTCAAATGCTGTGTTCGACATCCTTACGGGTGACGAAAGCTGGATTTATTGTTATGATCCTGAAACTAAGTGACAGTCTGCTGTCTGGGTGTTTCCTTCCGAGGAGTTGCCAACTAAAGTGGAGAGAGGTCGAAGTGTGGGAAAAAAGATGGTGGCCTCGTTCTTCGGAAGGACAGGTCATTACGCAACAATTATTTTAGAGGATCGAAAAACAGTTACTGGAGAGTGGTACACTAACAATGGTCTTGTAAAACGTTCGGGAGAAACGACCTCGCAGTAGGATCCTCCTTCACCACGACAACGCCTCGTCGCACACCACCAAGCAAACAATCGACTACTTGGCGACGTCAGACGTGGAGTTACTAGGTCACTCGCCCTATAGCACTGACCTCGCACCTTGTGATTTTTATTTATTTCCAAAAATAAAATAACTTCGAGAAAAACATTTTATTTTTACTTTATGGACGCTGTACTGACTGCGTTTCAAAATGCCGTCGAAGAGATCCCTAATGACGAGTGGGCAAAGTGATTTTCTCAGTGGTTCCATCGGATGCAGCTATGTATTGATGTAAATGGACACTATTGATAAAAGATATAGTAAAACTAATAACTTGCTAGTTTGTTCAGTTTTTGATTTTATAAGAACTTTCAGTGTCACCCTTGTAGTCATAGTCCTTAAATATATTGAATGAATGGAAAACTAAAAACCATAAGACTTATTTAGCCATGAAGCATCACATCGCTTTACCTCAGTTATCAAATGTTTCCAAACAAAAGTAAATTTACAAAAGAACAGCAGTTAATTAACTACTGGATACTAAGAATAAAATCTTCCCTGGTGGTTGAGGAGTTTTTAACGGGGTTACACGTCACCTGCCATCTCAAATCAGTTTATTTCATCACCTGATCAGCAAAAAATTCCTGTACTGTAGACTACTGCTTTATCATCTTACTAGGTGCAAGGTCTAGTGAATATCGAGGATACTAAAGTATTTCATAGACAGTATCTCAAATTTCAGCCATCGCAACGGTTGGTAAAACAATACAATCTTTGCCTAATGATTCTCAAAGATTTTACTGCTCATTTTTTTTTGTTTTTCCATTAAGATAATGGAGATATTCAATCATTACATCCCTTTGAGTATCCTAGAAATCTTACCGGGGGATGGACTCGCTTTGAATTTCTTAAGAGTTGGAGATGATGGTCTTTACCAAATCATAGACTGTAATTTATTATCAGATTGTAAAAGTAATGGCAAAGACACTTTTTATCCACTGTTATAAATTGAATCAAAAACAATCAGAATTTTGTTGCGACTGTTCCAAACGCACTCGGAAACCCAATGCGCGGGTTTTTTTTATTCATCTCAAAGCGTTCATACAAACACGCTACCAGTCGAAATTAAATATGAGCATTGTGAACTATTTTAAGTAACCAGTTTAAAGACCAACGTAAAAGAAAATACTTGGAAGAAGAGATTACAAGTGTATGTAAATATTACAAAGAGAAAAGTGGAAAAACTTGCATTAGACATGTCATAAAAGAGAAATATAAATTTTACGGACAGTGGCACGCTCAAGATCGTCCGCCCTGTGTATTTGTCTGATGTGATACTGATTGCTTTGCTGATTTTTAAACTTCATATAAAAAACAAAACATCTTGACAAAATGTTATCTTAAGAGTCAAAGGGGCCATAACATGCCCTGTCTAAAAGGATTATTTACCGAGAAAGTATCACTCTAGAAATTTTGATACAAGCCCATAAGGGCTGGTTTTTTTTTAATAGATTATGAGTGACAAGTGAGCACACAGTCCACCTGATGGTAAGTGGTTGCTGTGGCCCATAGACATCTACATCTATCCTCGTTTGCGAATCAAAAAGCAGATGCGTCGATAGCCGTAAGGACTAAGACGGAATGTCTCGTTTCCAGTAAAAAGGGTCTTCGGTTCTCTACACTCACCATACGAGACACAGCAGCGTTAAGCTGCTATTTTACGCTGGTATTCTATGAGAGCCTGGTCCTTCCCCAGTTAAGTCGACCCAATCGTGCTACAACTATACAATAAATATAGCTGCAGCATGGCTCTACCATGTATGTTGTTATTGACCATGTGATTAATGAAGACATTTTGTTGAAACTTAAGTAAGTAGTAACATTAAAAAAATATATAGGATAAGGATGACAAACGAGCACACAGGCCACCTGATGGTAAGTGGTTGCTGTGGCCCATAGACATCTACATCTATCTTCGATTAAGAATCAAAATGCAGATGCGTTGTCACCCGTGAGGACTAAGATGGAATGTCTCGTTTCCAGTAAAAAGGGTCTCCGGTTCTCTACACTCACCATACGAGACACAGCAGCGTTAAGCTGCTATTTTACGCTGGTATTCTCTGAGAGCGTGGTCCTTCCCCAGTCGAGCCGACCCATTTGTGCTACAACCATAATATAGCTGCAGCATGGCTCTACCACGTATAAAATATATACGTTATCATATTCTTAGTTGCTCACAGACTTTCAAACTGTAAAATGGCAAGATGCAGAGACTTATACGCGCAATAGAGGCGGGAGAGAAGATAAGTGACGTTGGTAGACGCTTTGGATTTCGTCGCTCTACCGTGTCCATAATAAGGAAATATTTACAGAAAATCTTGAAACCTACATCGAAGTACTTTCTTTATTACCAAGATATGACTAAAATAAGTAAAAATATACTACACAATTACTGTTGCAACAAAAAACGTCAGACGAAAATAACAGATAATATGCAATACCGTTCAAATAACAATTGTTTTTATGTAATTACTAACAATGGTCTGAAATAAAATTTTTCTTTTTCTAATACAGATTTTTCTTCGTTCCGTTTAACAACAACTCTTTATAACATCAAAATATATACAGGCCCCTGAGTGTCGCTATATAGAGTTTACACTGTATATAGATAGTAGGTATTAAAAAATGTAAGAAATAATATGATTCCCAATGAAGATAAAAATTGTACTTACATGATGGGATTTGTGGTGGGATTGTAGAAGATTAGATCGTACATAGTAAGTGTATCCCTTTTCACATTTTCGCGTTTACGTCGCATCGCTGCCATACGTCGGTTGGCAGCATCCTGTCGCCTAGATCTGTGGTATAATATCTATATTAATCTAAATGTGATTAATTAATTGTACTATAAAAAATAAATATTAATTTTTACCAAATATATTATAAATTTTCTGTCAAGATAAACTAAACTATTAAATTAAATTAATTTTCTGATATTTACTTATTGTAATGTCTTTCTTTCAGTGGTGAAGCAGTGGCAGCAGGGTGTGTTGCTTGACTAACACTTGAGCAAACAGAATCATTCCTAATGCGGCTAATATCTCTGAAATTTTGAAGATAATGTGGATAATCATAATGTGATGTTTACAATTTCAAATTTGTTTTTATTATTTTAGTGGTTTATAAAACGTTCAGCTTACCTATTATGCAATGAAGGTAATGTACTATGTGATGTATGTGAATCATGTCGTTGTCTTGCCAAGGATGGAGTGGCAGTCCCACTTGATATTTGCGCTCGGCGAGTTTCGTCCTCTGACTCACTAGCACTACCCTGTACAAATTGGAATATACCTTAAATTTAAATTGAGATTGATTGACTGAGATTGAATTTAGACCGTGGCAGTATCATTTTACAGGGTAACAAAATTTTTGAGTGACAGGTACCACAGACAGCTGTATACATAGCCGTTGGAGTCACACAAAAGTTTGAGTGATGATCCAAGAACTAGTCTCATTTGAAACTATTCTGATGATGTCCCGGAAGTCAGACTGAACGAGATTAGTATAGCTTTTAAAAATGACAAAACCCCAGGCGACAATGGAAACACAATTCATCTCTATCACAAATTTTTTGTCTTAATTTACATTTATACTTTTCTTTCACACCTTCATCTTGTGACCTTTCTATTCTTCAATGCTGTAATAAGTAGTGGACGCAGTTGTCTGAAGCCACTATCCTCTGAACAGACCATATAATATGATTTACCCAATCATCACTAAACATTCCTAATACCCTTTCATAACAAGCCATCTTCACCCCAACCCTTCCATTAAACTTAATATAAATTATAATTATTGTTGGTTTGTCTGTTAGTGATTTTGTAACTTCTAAACAACTCCAATACTTTACCTATGTTTGTTTTGTCAAGAGAATGGTTGTAGTCAAGTAATTAACAAATTCTATATTTATGGGCTAAAGTGACTCATATTCACAACATATGTTACTTTCATGTAAAAAAAAATATTATAAGATCTGGAGTCGATACTTATTAAGTAATTGACAAATTCTATATTTTATGGGCCAAAGTGACTCATATTTACAACATGTTAGTTTTATGCTAAAAAAATATTATTAAAGATCTGGTCCCGATGCTGTGGTCAAGTTATTAATACATTTAGTAATAAAAAAATTCTATATTTATGGACCAAAGTGACTCATAGTAACAACATGTTAGTTTAATGCCAAAAAAAAATATTATAAGATTTGGACCCGATAGGTAATGCTGTGGTCAAGTTATTAATACATTTAGTAAGTAACAAATTCTATATTTATGGACCAAAGTGACTCATATTTACAACATATTAGTTTTATGCTAAAAAAATTTATTAAAGATCTGGACCCGATGCTGTGGTCAAGTTATTAATACATTTAGTAATAAAAAAATTCTATATTTTTGGACCAAAGTGGCTTAATATTCACAACATGTTAGTTTAATGCCAAAAAAATATTATAAGACTTGGACCCGATAGGTAATGCTGTGATAAAGTTATTAATACATTTAGTAATTAACAAATTCTATATTTATGGACCAAAATGACTCATATTAACAAAATATTAGGTTAATGCCAAAAAAAAAAAATATTTTAAGATCAGGACCCTATAGGAAATGCTGTGGTGAAATCCATACTAATATTATAAATGCGAAAGTGTGTTTGTTTGTTTGTTTGTTTGTTTGTCCTTCTTTCACGTCGAAACAGAGCTTCGGCATGGCATGAATTTTGGTATGGGGATAGTTCGGTGGCTGTAGAGTGACATAGGCTACTTTTTTCTGCGGAAAAACATCTTATTCCCGTGGGAAAATCGAATATGTTGCACAAGTTTGTCCTTCTTTCACGTCGCAACAGAGCGTCAGCATGGCATGATTTTTTGTATGGGGATAGTTCGGTGGCTGTAGAGTGACATAGGCTACTTTTTTCAGCGGAAAAACATATCATTCCCGTGGGAAAATCGAATATGTTGCAAAATTTAATTCAGCTAAGTGGAGCCACCGTGATTCTACAAGACGGACGACGGTACGATGGACGAACACAGAAGATCAGAATATCTGGATTATTGTCTTTTTACCAAAATTAAGATAAAAAATGTATGGATCTGTATTTTTCCACGCAGTACCGGGAAGAGAGCGATAAAAAACATAAAATTCACCAGCTGATTTTCTTCAAACGTTTTGATGCATTGTAATTCACAGAATAGGCGATAACCTCGCAGACGATATTAAGTAATCCGTTGATGCTCTGCCTACCCCGCAAGGGTTACAGGCGTGATTATAAGTATGGATCAGAAATTCTATCACCACCTGTCACGCTTTCACCCTTAACTATTACTTAACTGTGGTAGAAACAGTTCTTAGTAAGCCTTATTAATAATAAGCCTTATTCATATTTATTGAACGGAAATGAATAGAGTTCTTATACATATTCTTATATGTGGCTATGAATGAATCGGTATTACAATAAGAAAAATTGTGCAAAATTATAAGAAAAATATTTTTTGAGAGTTCTTATTAACTAACGTATACATAATTTAAAGATAGATGTCGTTACTAGGTTTTTAAAACGCGGTAACGAAATGTTTCCTGACATGTACTTAACTCCCGCCGTTGAGCCGCGCGTCAACATATAGTGCATACGGTACCTATACGCTTAAATTGTTTCTATTTCGTAGCTTATTCGACTACCTGCTTTCGATTTCGGTTGTTTGTTATTTGCTTTGTGATTTGGTTAAGGTTGAATGGATTTATATTGGCTTTCATTTTCGGATTTGTGTATTTTCTTGGATCGGTTTTGTTGATTTGGTTGGTATTCCTTTCCTTTATACATATTTAGACTCTGGCTTTGATTTTGGATTTTGTTTATTTAGAATCGTGAATTGGTTTTCGTTGTGTTAGGTTGTTTAACAATATTTCAAAGGAATATTAATAGTATAGATAGTGTATACGGTACCTATACACTTACTTCTTTTTTCGTTGGTTATATTTATATTGACTACTGCTTTCGATTTCGGTTTTCTGCAATTTGTTTTGTGATTTGGTTTAAGTTGATTCGATTTTTTTTTTGCTATCGTTTTCGGATTCGTGTTGTCTTGAATTGGTTCTGTTGTTTTGATTTTAAAAAATATTTAAAAGGAATATTTATTCCTTTTAGATATATTGGATTTGCTTTTAAAAAAAATATTTAAAAGGAAATTTAATTCCTTTTAGGTATTTTAATGTTTTTTTTATAAATAGGTTTTTTGTTACTTCATAATGCCTCGCAAACGTAAGTCCAGCCTTTCAAGAGTATCTTCTCAAAGACAAGCGAAAAGATTAGCTCGATCGCTAGAATGTTCAGAAGATGCTGAACTGAGAAGGCAAGAACAAGCAGAGCGTCAGGCTGCTTTTAGAGTATTTGAGACACCTTCTCAACGTCAGCAAAGGCGTCTTGAACAGACAGAGCGTCAGGCTGCTTTAAGAGCTTCCGAAACATCTTCTCAAAGTCAGGAAAGGCGTCTCGAACAGGCAGAGCGTCAAGCTACTTTAAGAGCTACTGAAACACCTGCTCAAAGTCAGCAAAGTCGTCTTGAACAGGCAGAGCGTCAAGCTACTTTAAGAGCTACTGAAACACCTGATCAAAGTCAGCAAAGGCGTCTTGAACAGGCAGAGCGTCAATCTACTTTAAGAGCTACTGAAACACCTGCTCAAAGTCAGCAAAGGCTATTCGAACAAAAAATCTAGCCCAGGAAGAATCGCCAATCTGCAACTTTGGCAAAAACAGTGCACGAGGTATAATGCTACGACAATGCAAACTTTTAGTGTGGGACGAAAGTACAATTTAGCATAAAAAAGCTGTAGAAGCACTAAATCGAACGCTCCAGGATTTGCGCAGCAATACCGATGTAATGGGAGGAATGGTGGTTTTACTGGCTGGTGACTTTCGCCAAACTTTACCTGTCATTTAAAAGAGCACAACTGCAGATGAAATTAAAGCATGCCTCAAGTCGTCTATTTTATGGAACAAGGTGACAAAATTCAGTTTAACTACGAATATGAGAGTGCATTTGTATAATGATATCAATGCTGGAAACTATGCTGACACACTATTAAAAATTGGCGATGGATGGTTGGAAACGGATGCTGAGGGCTGCGTTAAATTGACGAGAGATTTTTGTAATTTAGTACAGAGCCATTTCGAATTAATTGCGAGCTTTTATTCAGATTTAACGAACAACATGCATGAAGACAAATGGTTATGTGAAAGGGCGATTCTTGCACCAACAAATGAGAGCATTAACAAAATAAATTCAGATATATTAAGTGAAGTAGCAGGAGAAATAACAGAGTATTTGTCAGTAGACACAGTTATGGACACAGAACAGAGCACTTCATATCCCGTAGAGTTTCTAAATTCTCTAGAGTTGTCAGGTGTGTCCTCACATAAGCTTCAATTAAAATTAGGCGTCCCAGTCATGTTAATGCGAAATTTAGATGCTCCTCGGTTATGTAACGGGAAAAGGCTGCGTGTGACACATCTTGGATGGAACATAATTGGTGCTACAATTTTAACAGGCGTAGGAAAAGGTGAAAATGTTATTATACTACAGATCCCTATAATTCCTACAGATCTTCCTTTTCAATTCAAAAGGTTGCAGTTCCCTATTAAGCTCAGTTTTGCAATGACAATTAATAAAGCGCAAGGGCAAATGTTACAGGTAGCAGGGGTCAACTTAGAAAAACCGTGCTTCTCTCATGGTCAGCTGTATGTAGCATGTTCGCGTTTGTCAAATGCCCATAATCTCCACATTCTTTCCCCAAATGGAAAAACATATAACATTCTGTACAGTAGCATCTTAAAATAGTGTTCAGTTAGTTTATTTTCCAAAATTCCCACAATCAATTAATCAGAATTCCCACAGATCTTCCCTTTCAATTCAAAATTTCCTATTTAGCTCAGTTTCTTTTCAATTCCAAATGCTGCACCTCTGACGGACCTATTAAGCTCAGTTTCCTTTCAACTGAAAAGGCCGCATCTCTGACGGATCTTTTATTTGGCTCAGTTTCCTTTCAATTCAAAAAACTGCATCTCTGACGAATCAATTTAGCTTAGTTTCTTTTCAAAAGTCTGCATCCCTGACGGATAATTATGCTCAGTTTCCTTTAATTAAAAAAATATCCCATTTCCATTTGGAATAAACAGGCTATTTTCATGCTTTCCTATACGCTGCGTTTCAAAACATTTAAATAGGCTGACGAATCAATTTTGCTCAGTTTCCTTTTATCGGCTACATCTCTGACAAATCTATAAAACTCAGTTTTCTTTCAATTCAAAAAGCAATGGATAGTTCATTTCCCAGTGACCATGCAGGCGAAGCCGCGGGTAACAGCTAGTTATTAATACATTTAATAATCAAAAAATTCTATATTTATGGACCAAAGCGACTCATATTAACAAAATGTTACTTTGATGCTAAAAAAATTATCAGATCTGGACCCGATATGTAATGCTGTGGTCAAGTTATTAATACAATTAATAATTAATAAATTCTATATTTATGGATCAAAGTGACTTATACTTATAACATATGTTAGTTTGATGCCAAAAATATACTATAAAATCTGAACCCGAAAGGTAATGCTGCGGTCAAGTTATAAATACATTTTATATTTACACTGTAAAGTTTGTTTCTGGTGTGAAAAAAATTGTGTAATAAAAACTTAAAAAAGGGTACCTGAATACTATTTCTTCTATTTGGCCCTAGTCTTGGCGTAGGCCGTAATTTGGGTCTGACTTTACTTGGAGAAGGCAATGGTACAATGGGGTCAAAAAGCACTTCCACATTTTCTGATATTATCTCATTTTTTAGAAAATCTATGGGCTTTGGAGCGCTGGCAGCAGGTTGCAATGGAACTATACCATCCATTACTGTGTCATCTTTGAGGCTTTCAGGGACACTTGGCTCACTATAATCTGTAAGATATTTTAACTTGTTTAGGACATAACAATGCACTTATAATTCATAGGTAAGTTTGGTGACAATCAAGTGCCATGTGTGAAAGTAGAGTAAAGCAATTTTACCTCATTACATTCTGTGGATGAAGAAAGACGTAGATTATTGGATGTGCCAGAGATATCATGACTGATAGAAGGCCAATGGCTATATTACCCCATTTATGACAGGCCCATAAAGAGATAGACAGAAAATACCCAGACCGGCAACAGACTGCGGCATAAAAGTTGGATGAAGATCTAGTTGCTACCTCTCCTGCCAAGCATGATGATTATACAAACAAATCTTCTATACAGAGATAGAGGTGTAACTGAAGTTTCACAGACTGATAATAAAGAAGAAGAATGTATAAGTATGTATAAATATGTTTAATAAATGAAGAGACATTAATGCCCAAATACACAAATGTTACTCAATTTTAAGATGCCTTTAAGTCTCGTGCTGTCTCTATCACTTTAAGTCAAAGTGATGATGATATATATCAATATAATATCTATGCAATGTTATAACTGTATATATATATATATACTGTTAGCTTTATTTTACTCTTGGCACATATAATTTATATGTATACTTATAGAATGAAATTCATACCTATTTATAACCCTAATAATATATTTTTTGATATATTAATATATTTTATTATTATTTTATTTTTAATATTTTGTATTATTATCCTCTAAGTCGCCACAACTTATTAATAGTGATTTTTGTCTTTAATAAAAATATTTAATACACAAGTTGTTTCAATTTATAGACTTAATATTTTATTGTACATATAAAATTAACAAAAGTTTAACATTACCTTCATTTACATGGTTAATTGTGGGACTAACACTTTTGTGAGTAATTTTATTTACATTTTTGTCTGTTATTTGTATTTCATTATTTTCGTTAATAATTTCTGCATTTGGTGTAGATTTATGTCTCTGTGGTGTATTACTTTTATGTTGGCTAACATCCGCACTTTTGGTAAGTTTTGGTGAAGGTGCCAAAGGTGAAGCAAATACTTTTCTAATAGGACTGTCACGTACTTGTGGTGACGCAAAAGCACTTGTATTTGACTTCAAAGTAAGATTAGGTATCTTAACTGAATGTCCAAGTTTTTTACTAATTCTTTCGTTATCGTCAATCGAAGATCCATCATCTAGAGTTGTAGTAGCTTCATAAGTGATTATCTTAGGAGTTTTATTTACATCATTGAATACTTCATTTTGTACTAGATCTTCATTTATCGACTTTGACAGAGAAATATTTTCGTGAAGCTCTTGATTTTTTTCTGCTAATGGTCTTGTTTCTGTGTGTTCTTTATCTTGAATTTGTTTATGTTTTACTTCTTCAGCATTTTTTCTTCGAGGTGGTAAAGATGTAACAGCTTTTATCCTAGCTCGTCTTGTTGACATGGCGCTGTTTGAATATACAGAGAACTTTGAGAAAGTACCACTACCTTTACCACATATTAATAATTATTTTGTTAACAAATTACACGTTACTTTCATTTCATTTCAAAGATTTTTTGCGTTGAAGCCAACACAACTTTAATAATTGTAGTGTCTCTATAGCTCTCGCTAGACACTAGAGCAATATATAAAAGTACTCTGTGCTCTGTGGACTAGAGAGTAGTATGCACAGAACACTAATACCCTTAGTATTTTTTTTTGGAGTTTATGGCCTGGTATCTAGACCTTTAGGCCAAGTCTTAAGTATTTTTATTCGGTTTATTGTAATTTCCCCACTCCTTCATAGTATACTGCTTCACAATATGTTGATGCGTCACATTGTGCAGTTCTTGGGAGATTTTGGCGGCAACTTGATCCAGCAGACAGCTGATAGTTGGCGATGGTATCTAAAGGTGCCTATGCAAACAAACAGCTTATCTTGAGAATCCATCACCATCAGAGCACTTGTTTCACTGTTTCCACTAATAGTTCACATGCGTAGACACTTAATACACAAAATCGCAACTCTTTTACATATCAAAGTCCACTTCAAACCATTATTTAAACAATAATACAGGAGCAGCAAACCGCCGCCGGTCAATTTCCCGCCAAAACTCCATATACCCTTAGTAGTATGTTCCTTGCCACAGAGTACTTTGAATAATCAGAAATTCCTTGCTCTCTAGTCTCTAGTCTCTACTAGAGATGAAGCATGAAGCGCACAGACTAACTAGTAGATTCTACACGAATCAGACGGACATCTCACGAACTAAACTTACTCGACTTAGCTTCTGCGTCCTGATTGGTTGTAGCAAAATGATATATGACATTTAATTTTTTTTTAAATTGAAGCAGCTATATCAGGCAAAGGACGTCCCAAATAAGCTTATTTATTAAACTTGCAAAATTTATTTTAAAATATTTAAAATAAAATAAGGTAAATAAAAATGAAACAATGATAAAATTTAATATTTTTTTATTAGTTATTAATTTTTAATTTACAATAATTTTGTTTACAAATTTAATAATTTATTAATATATACAATATTAAAAAATATATTAAAAAAACAAATTAATTACTTAATTATCATACAGTCCTCATTTTAACTTTACAATAATTTTGTTCACAAATTTAATAATTTATTAATATATACAATATTAAAAAATTATATTCTAAACAGATCTCTACAGCACTTAAGTTTTTATATTACATAGCTTCATATTGACTTGCAATGTGCTGTGCCCCGCATCCTTACCTGAAACACAATCATTTACAGCCTTAATAAAAGCATTTTGCTCCATTTGTTCATAATCAAGATTTGTTCCATATTGGTAAAAATTGTACGTAACTACATAAAAATTAAAAATTGTATGTAGTTATTAAGCTTTGGCAGCTGACAACGGCTGATCAAAACTATTTTCCTGTAGAAATGATGGATGTATGGATTGTATGAAATCAAAAAATTATAGCATCAAAAACATAACTTGTAAAAAAAACCAAGTCTCGCAACTCAGTTCTTCTATCGTAAAAAGTTGAGAGATCCATGTAATACCAAGTCGGTTAATTTATTCCAAAGACATTTAAGTAGTAGTAGTAATAGACCGGACATCAGCAGCAAAATTGTCGTCTGTAACTTATGTCCTATAGGATATATCTCCGTTAGTCTTAGTGACATCGTCATAAAGTCAAGACGCATTCTTATCATATCTTTAAAAAATATGTTTATAGAAAATATGCCCGGTTGTGCATTAAGATAGTGTAAGTAACGATATGGAGCAAAAAATGAACGTGATTTTGGTTTTTTATCGTAAGTATAACGTATATTTACCGAATAATCTTTAAATTTTATTATTTCTAGTAGATTGTTCTAGAAAATTTATTTTTATTTTACTAAGCGCCCTCTGTTATCCTGTAGCGTTACTATTTATTTAAAGTTAGTGATTGACGACGTTTATTGATTGGGGTTATCGATAAAAATAATATACAGGATGCCGATTTAATCATTTACAATATTTAAGGAGGTAATACAGTCAAACATACTGTACCCATACCAACAAAAATGAGTAGCATATACCAACTATGCTAAGTAGCCTACTTTATGTGGAATGGTGGGAAAATTTTTTTAGGCATGATGATGAGATTTTCTGTGTTGCTTATGAACATGCTGAGGATACTTGCTGTGTTGATGTTTAGCAAGACAGCAAGTCTTCTCTTTTACATACAGGGCTTCATTGTCTGGTTGTATTCAAGGACAAAACCATTAGATCCTGGCTTACAGTGATAGGAGAGTGCTATAGGCATGTGATATTAAAAAAAATGTACTGTTAAAGATATTAGATTCAAAAAGCTGTAGGTTAAGCCTGAGTTAGAAAATAAGGTAAAAACTTAAAATAACAATTTTTATTGATGTGGGTAGTGTCTTTTAAGTAGTGCAGCTGATGAAATTGACATAATAATATAAAAGGAGAAGAAGACGTCTCCATACATTCTTGGGCCCAAGTGTTAACAAGATGAAAGTACCATTTGAAAGCGTATATATAAACAATTAATAGCTGAAAAGATTTGTCAATCTAGAAGCTGAGTTATTATAGAATAAGTAAATTAGAGATTATCTATTACCTACACTGTAACAGGTGATTTTTTACTGTTATTACATTGTAACAGATAATTTTTCACTATAATTACTTAAAGATATAAAAGCAGGATCAGTATAAAATCACCAAAAAATCTGTGGTTAGTAATGAAATGAAATAGTGAAACGATTAACGAAAGATAAAAACACGACTCTTCGTGACGGGTATTGACTCATCAGTGAGTATCCAACCGTACACCGTACCGGGTATGATGTACCGCAAGACCTCTCTAGTACATTGGTACATAATATCGCAATGGTGCACAGTGAGAATTTAATAAATAAATTAAAATGATACAAGTTGTTATGAGTATTAGTTATGAGTTCGATTTACAACAATTTAAACATTTTTATAAATAAATACCGTTGAAAGTACTGGAATAATTTCATTTCTTATAATAATACTAGCCTGTATTAGCCTACTGTAGCGCAAAGTAGTCTTCACATACAGGAAAGTAACGAGCATTAATCACAACACTTGCTTTGTGCATGTTCGTTATTTCAGATTATAATGTTCAGTATTCCTCACTATGCTTTCTTTCACCAAGTCAGTAATGTCTCAAGTTGTTGAGCATAAATCTCTTTGAAGAATATTGGTACATAACATACCAGCGTATTTATAATATTGTTGCACGCCACTATTAATGTCTTGTACATGACAACACTAGTTACACTAGTGCCCTCTAGTGTCGAGTAAATGAAAGTATTGCGCGCCACTATTAATATCTTGTACATGGCAACACTAGTTACACTAGCGCCCTCTAGTGTCGAGTGGCAGAACTAGGAGAGTCAAGATCCTTCCAGAAATTTCGGGACCGATATGTACTCGAACATTCTAGATGTCGCTACAGTAGAAGATTCTGAGAACTATCTGAGGCCCTATATAAGGCCGGTAAAGACCACGACCGAGGCAGTATTGAATTGGCGATACAAGAGAATACTTCGAAGCGAAATAACGGCGAACTGTGTTTTATTATTAGTGTGATTTTAGATTGTAATTAGTGTTGTGTAATTAAAGTGTCAATTTTGGTAATTCAATCGGCAGTTTTTAATTGTCTTGAACCCCAAGCGCGTAACAATTGGTGTCAGAAGTGGGAACAAATATGCCGATTTTACCTAAAGACGACACCGAGGGTATCCGTACCCGAAGTCAACGCCAACAGGAGACGGACCAGAGACGATTTGGTGGTGCAACGTCACAGACGTCGGCAGGCCAGTTGCCGACCACGGAGGCCGGCCTGTCAGCAGTTCCTGCATCTGCAGCACCTGACTTAGGTACTCTGATGATGATGCTGCAGGAACAAGCTCGCCGACAGGAGGAACAGGCCCGCCGACAGGAAGAACAGGCCCGCCGACAGGAGGAACAGGCTCGTCGGTTGGAAGAGCAGCTGCAGCGCGGACAGGAGGAACAAGCCCGCCAACAGGAGGAACAGGGCCGTCGGTTGGAAGAGCAGCTCAAACGCGATAAGGAAGAGCAGATACTTCTCATGAAGGACCTTCACACTACCTTCGGGAAAGAAATAAGTGAGGTGAAGGATAAGGTTGCTCAATATGACAACCGCCTGTCGGAAGCTGAAACCCGAATCGACCAAGTGTACAATCGGGTTGACAATGTGAAAGCTGACGTGAAGAAAACGCTGAACGACCTCAAAATTGGGGATGGAGTTACAGCTCCCGTGGTAGCTACAACACCTTCGCTACGTGGATTCAAAGTGCCACCGTTCGACGGGACTTCTTCCTGGTCGGCCTACAAAATCCAGTTCGAGGCTGTCATGAAAGCGAACGGCTGGAATAAAAGTCAGGCCATGACTGCTCTCACCCTAGGCCTGCGCGACCAGGCCTTAACTGTTCTGGAAGCTCTCGGTAAGGAAGTGACTTACGAGCAGCTCCTTGAGGCATTGGAGGCGAGATATGGCAACGCTCACCTGGAACACGTCTTTCGTGCGAAGCTCAAAGATCGCGTGCAACGCAGTAACGAAAAGCTGGTTCGAAAAGCGTACCAGTCTGTACCTGCGCTTATTGTAGGGAACCTGGTGCAGACATTCATCGACGGCATCCGCGACCTTGAAGTCAGAGCTGCTGTGAGGCTCGGGCACCACGAGACGCTTAAGGACGCCTTGACCCATTCACTGGAGGTGGAAGCCGTGCGGCAGATTCATCGTTCCCACCGCGTCAGGGAGGTTGCAGCAGCTACAGTTCAGGACCGCAATAAAAGCTACAGCCCTAGGTGCTACGGCTGTGGGGAAAGGGGCCATCTTCGATCCAGCTGCCCTAAGCGAACTGTAGAAAGGGAAGGTGATCGATCTCGAGAGGGTAGTGCGGCTAATAGCACCGCCCAGCAGCAGCAGGGAAAGGAGTAAAAGCCAGGACTGCGGGGCGGGTGCTGGCTGATGTTAAAAGAGCCCTAAGGATTTCGATCTCACAAACCCATGATGGGAACAGCCTAATCATCAAGGGCGAAGTCAACGGAACGCCATGTAAACTGACCATAGACACTGGAGCCTCTCGCACGGTTGTCAGTTCCCAACTTATAAGTGGGTTCCTTGGGGACTCCGCATACAACCAAGAACGCATTAATTTGGTGACAGCCATTGGTCAGCGCATACCCGTCCGTGGAGAAAAGGAGATGGAGTTGAAGCTAGGCAACATGATCTACCTGCATAATGTCATCGTGGCTGATATAATGGACGACTGCATCCTGGGCCTAGACTTTATGAGGAAGAATTGTTGTGAGATCGACGTTATGCAAGGTGTTTTGAAATGTGGACAAGAGGAACTTTTCATGGAAGGGGCGTTACCAGGGAATGTGTACAGCCTTAAGAAGATTGTTCTTCCGCCGAGATCGGAAACGATTGTGCCGGTTAGACTTCCTCGGAATCCTGGGCAAACTCTTCGTTGTGTACTCGTGGAAAGGGTAGACAACGACCTTCCATGGATAGTGGCTCGAACCTTGGTCAGAACCGCCGACATCTCAGGAGTACGTGTGCTGAACCTTTGTGATCAGGAACAGATTATAGAAAAAGGCACATTGGTTGGTACTAGTGAGGAAGTGGATTGGTTGCGTCGGTGCCAATATCTATCGACTGGGACCCTCAGCAAGGATGGACAAACGAGAGTGACCACACTTTTAGAAGACTGTCGCAGCGTTCTCTCCCCGAATGAAATGATCAAGGCGAAGAAGTTGTTACTCAAGTACGCCAAGGTTTTCTCGTCAAACGAAGCTGACATAGGAAAGACTGGCTTAGTTCAACACAAAATAAACACAGGACAAGAATTGCCTATTCGTCAGCGGCCAAAAAGATTGTCTGTAGCACGTGAAAAGGAAGTGGAAACCATGATTGAGGGAATGGTGAAGGATGGTGTTATTTAACCTTCATCTAGTCCATGGTGTTCACCTGTGGTGCTGGTAAAGAAGAAGGACGGCAGCATGCGGTTTTGTGTTGACTACCGCCGCCTGAACGACGTTACGAAGAAGGACAGCTATCCCTTGCCTAGAACTGATGACACGCTGGACATGCTCACAGGCGTAAAGTGGTTTGGTACGCTGGACCTGAAAAGTGGCTACTGGCAGGTTGAAATTGACCCTAAGGACAAGGAGAAAACTGCATTCTCCACAGGAAAGGGTCTGTGGCAATTTAAAGTCATGCCGTTTGGATTGTGCAATGCTCCAGCAACGTTTGAAAGATTGATGTAGCTTGTACTTACCCGGCTAATTGGAGATGCCTGTCTGGTCTACTTGGATGACATCATCATCGTAGGCCGTACGTTTGAGGAACACCTTCAAAACCTGGAACGCGTGCTCATGAAGATCCAGAGTGCCAACCTCAAGTTGAGTCCGAAGAAGTGCTCACTATTCAAACGGCAAGTTAGTTCTTTGGGGTATGTAGTGTCGGAAGAAGGTATCCGCACGGATCCAGAGAAAGTTACCGCTGTCAAGGAGTGGCCGATTCCAAAAGACAAGACACAGGTTAGAGCATTTTTGGGTTTGTGCTCTTATTATCGGCGATTTGTGAAGAACTTTGCAGATATAGCCAAACCTCTGCACAAGCTGACCGAGGAGAAGCGACATTTCTGCTGGGATGAAAGTTGCGATATTGCATTCCAGGAGCTCAAGAACCGTCTGTGCAAAACACCTATTTTGGGGTACCCTGATGCGGGCAAGGAATTCATAGTTGACACAGACGCAAGTGATATAGGACTTGGCGGTGAGTTGTCTCAACGGAATGGTGATCAAGAGATTGTGATAGCGTACTTCAGCAAGTCGTTGTCAAAGCCGGAAAGGAACTATTGTGTCACAAGACGGGAATTGCTTGCTGTGGTAAAGTCCTTGCAGCATTTTAGCAAATATCTTCTAAGGCGGAAATTCCACTTACGAACTGACCATGCTGCACTGAAATGGCTATTGCAGTTCAAAAATCCGGAAGGACAAGTTGCGAGATGGATTGAACTACTGCAGGAATACGACTTTGTGATCGAACATCGCAGCGGGAAATCTCATGGCAATGCAGATGCATTGTCAAGAAGACCTTGTCCTGAAGATTGCAAGCATTGTACTAGGCAAGAGGGTAAGGAAGTGGTATCTGTGAGGATGCTCAGGACAGACCAGCTCAGCAATGAGTGGAAGGACAGCCTACAACATGCACAGCAGGAAGATTCGGATATTAAGCCGATTCTGGAATGGATGAAAGCCAGTGCTCCTAAGCCCAAGTGGAGCGACGTCTCAGCTATGAGTTCGACCACGAAAAGCTATTGGGCCCAATGGGACAGCTTGCTGATTCAGGATGGATTCCTGTGCCGTAAATGGGAAAATGGTCGGGGAGACAGTTGTCATTTGCAAATGGTTGTCCCTAAGGCTAAAGTACCGGATGTTCTACAGCTGTACCATAGTGGTTGTTCAGGAGGCCACCTGGGAGTTAAACGAACTCTACTGAAAATCCGAGAACGGTTTTACTGGGTCCACTGTCGTGACGATGTCGAGGACTGGTGCCGCAAATGTACAAGTTGTGCGGCTGTAAAGGGACCTCAAATTCGTAGTAGAGGCGCATTGAAATTGTACAATGTTGGTGCACCATGGGAGAGGATAGCCATTGACGTTGCGGGGCTGTTTCCGGAAAGTGAAAGTGGTAACAAGTATTTCATGGTTGTGATGGATTACTTCACTAAGTGGCCAGAAGTCTTCGCCATTCCAGATCAAGAAGCTTCAACAATTGCAGATAAGCTAGTTCATGAAGTCTTCTGTCGTTTTGAAGTACCTTTAGAGATTCACAGCGATCAAGGAAGGAATTTCGAGTCTCAAATATTCCAGGAAACTTGCAGAGTTATGGGTACTCATAAAACACGAATAACTTCTTACCACCCACAATCTGATGGAATGGTAGAACGATTTAATCAGACATTGGAAAGGTACCTGGCAAAAGTTATGGAAAAACGGCAACGAGACTGGGACAGGCACATACAACCGTTTTTGTTGTCATATCGAAGCGCTGTTCACGAAAGTAAGTCAGTGACGCCAGCTTTCGCAAACTTTGGGAGAGAATTACGGCTGCCTGCAGACCTGATCACTGGAATACCACGTGATGCCCCACGCAGTATAACCGATTATGCAAATGACTTGCGGAACAAAATGAATGACATTTATGAGCATGTCAGACAGACGGGCCAGCAAACGTCTGAGAAGATGAAAACACGGTATGACCGCAAAATGAACAACAAGGGGTTTGATGAAAGTTCACTAGTGTGGTTCCACAATCCAGTTCGCAGCAAAGGGAAATCTCCTAAGCTTCAAGCTAAATGGGACGGACCGTACCGGATTGTCACAAGGATCAATGATGTAACCTACCGGATACAGAAAGGTGCCAGAGGTACTCCTAAGATTGTCCATGTGGATCGACTGGCGCGTTATTATGGGGCCAATAATGCTCGGGACGAGCATGTCTTAGGAGGGGGCAGTGTTGCGCGCCACTATTAATGTCTTGTAAATGGCAACACTAGTTACACTAGTGCCCTCTAGTGTCGAGTAAATGAAAGTATTGCGCGCCACTATTAATGTCTTGTACATGGCAACACTAGTTACACTAGCGCCCTCTAGTGTCGAGTAGCAGAACTAGGAGAGTCAAGATCCTTCCAGAAATTTCGGGACCGATATGTACTCGAACATTCTAGATGTCGCTACAGTAGAAGATTCTGGAAACTATCTGAGGCCCTATATAAGGCCGGTATAGACCACGATCGAGGCAGTATTGAATTGGCGATACAAGAGAATACTTCGAAGCGAAATAACGGCGAACTGTGTTTTATTATTAGTGTGAATTTAGATTGTAATTAGTGTTGTGTAATTAAAGTGTCAATTTTGGTAATTCAATCGGCAGTTTTTAATTGTCTCGAACCCCAAGCGCGTAACAATATGAATGTATGAATATAAAATTTATAAAATGATTTATCGTGAAACGGCTTTTAAGTTCTGTGTTTTCCTAAATATTTTAGAAATTTTTATTTAGTAAAGGAAACGAATTTAAAAACATAAAGGCGCTCCCTTATTGAATTTGGCGTTTCTTGATGTGTCTTCAACGCCGGTCGACCAATCATATGCTATTATTATAGCTTCTAATAGACCGAGTGGCGTCATCCAAGATGCCACCAAGGCGGCAACCAAAGTGACTGCTGTTTGAATTGATTCTTAGTTATTGGAAATTAATATTTTATTTCATGTCACAAAAGAGGCATAAAAAGTTAAAGTGATTTTTTTAGTGCGATGGAAGTCATGATAAAATGATTTATATAATGAAACAATCATTTTATTCCCTATTATTATATTTTAAAGCATTTCAAACTTAGTAACCTTCAACAACATTATCGATACTTTGGTATCGAAAGGGTAATATTCCTAAAACGATCTTATATTTTAAGCGGCACCTACTGGGGAATAGCTAAAATGTTGTCTTAATAAATGATAGCGTAGTTTTGCTATTTTCAGCTAGAGGGCGTCACACACGCAGGAGCTTGTATATAAATTTTCCCAATGCCCACTCTATAGTGTATATATATATTTATATTTATATATGACGGCACCTGCACCGTTGTAGGTGCGGTGGCGTCGGTCTGGCTAGACAGAATTCTTGTAAACGACACGTGTACCGCACACCTGCGGCATTGTACCTGCGTTGCCGCCCGTCCTGCTTGTATAAAACGGACGGAGCGGCCGTCGTTAAGACAGTCTTGGCTCTGACGTGGAACGGTGCGCTTGTCGTATTCCGTTACTAGTTTATCCTCGACTCGTTGGATAATTAATTGGTGTAAACGAATTAATTATTATTCCTAACTACAAAAATCAGTCTCTGTACTATACCCACTATACTTCCTACATCAGAAGTGGGATAAAGTCCCCCTTTTTGCCCACATATTATCTTCGAATAGTATGAGAATTATTACATTTGTAAAGGCTATAATGCATTTCGCATTGATGGATCTCTTTTTATGTTAAATACCGTAATGAAATTTGCTGACCTACTTACGATATTGTCGTATCATCAAAGAGTAGAGAAAAGATAAATTGAAATTATTTAGGGCAAAAGACAAATCCTTTTGTTCGATTTGTATTAAAAGTACCCTCAAGTATTTTCATTATTTCTGACGTACCTAAATATGTTAACAAATTGAAGAAATGTTAGAGGCTTTCTAGACGAGTCATCGTTTGCATTGAATGAAAAATTAACTTATTCAAGTTTTGTTGTAATTTGATAGTTCATACGAAACATGATTATCATCTGTTATATTTTGAAATTCAAAACGTTTAAGCGATGTACCAAAATAAAGGATTAACTTTAACATGCTAGGAATTGAAAATAATAAGTAACATTTTTGTGTTCTAATGTGTTGATCAGTGTTGCAGTTTGCTTCGAATACAGTGTGGTCGACAAGATTGGGGTTTGATGTCGAGAGATTCGTAGAAATCTCTACATCAATGATCAATGAGGAAGATGTTGTGACGGCTAATCGAACATGTCAGGAACGGCCGAGCGCTAGTAAAATTGAGCCTACACCGCTACAGTCGGTAACTTATCGGCTGATCTTACGGCAAGGCAATTCAAGCGGCCGCCGAACAAATGGTGCTTTGGCGCTGTAAATGGACGTCTGAGGCTTGGACAGCTTTCGTAGATTTTGCGCGGTTGCCTCCTTCCCTTTGAAATATGTTGTAGTATTTGTCTCTACACATAGTTTCCCTTTTTTGCAATGTTTTCAAATGGCATACAGTTGCTGTTTCTTAAGAAAATCTCGGAATTTCATGGTTTGCAATACATTTATCTCCATTTCTCTTAATTTTTAATTTTGCAAAGCAGTGCGACGATTCGCTAGCGCCAGTACGGCGCGACGGCTCGCTAGCGCGAATGTTGCACGAACGCAGCAGAACGGAAAGTTTGAGTGCGTTTGCCTGGAGTTAGCCATATCGGCGCGTCCTTGACTTAAATGAAGTCTGGGATGGTCGACCGTTGTAATATTTAACAAGAGTTAATATCTGTTAGCAGGTGGTGATAACTGATAGACCGTATGCTGTTCACTGTCAACCGCACGAGGACGTGCGACAGTCAGAAGTAGCCGTGTCTGTGCATCTAGAAAATACTAGAGACATTGCAACACTCTAACGAAGTAATTATTCTAGAGCAGGAAAGGAACATGAAGTTGCAGGGAGGCTGGTTT